GAGAGAAAGAGAGAAATAAAAAAAAAAGAAAATAAAACAAATTCGAATTTTTCATAACGTGGATATTCTAAGCGTGTAATTGTAAGATAATGTTAATTAAAACGAAATAGAAATGTAATTAACAGGATGGAACGTATGCTTAATTGATGAATTACGTTAGAAGGTCAACTGCAAGTAGTTGCATATATATATCTCGAATTATAATGTTCTCGAATTCCAAAAATTCATCTTTATTCCGTGAACTACGATAAAATGGACTGATACGCTAAATTTTTATTATATATAAATTTTTCTTTTCAATAAACTTTTTTCGAAATCCAACAATATAATTGTACGGATATAAAGATGATTATTTAAAAATAAAAATTATCAATTTAACTGTTATATTTTATTATTTCATAAGAATATTATTTTTATTTCTATTTGAAAAAAAAAATGCGTTATCAAAATTTAATAGAAAAAATTTAAGATATCCTATATATCTTATTCAATTTATAAAAATGTACATACATACATATATATATATATATATATATATATATATATATATGTATGTATTTATCTCTATTGTAACGATAAAAAAAATATTTTTTTATAAACTTAATGAATTCATTAGAATAATTGTACGAATGTTATTTATATCTCCATATATCCCCATATATATATATATATATATATGTATTTATAAATACGAATATTTCGTAAACGAAAATAAATGAAAACTCATTTTCTTTCGAAATACAAGATAAATTAAAGATTACAACTTATTTCCGATAATTATAAGAATATACATATATACATATATATATGTATATATACTGACAAATGACTGTATAGCTAAATGCCGCGCCCTATGAACGCGATGAATGCAGATAACGTGAACGTATGCACAATACATTCATATATATATATATATATATATATATATATATATATATATATATGTATGTATATATATCGTATAACATATGTGCGGCAAGAAATCGATGAGCACTTGAACTTCATCAAACTTTAACTATGCCATTTACATTACATGATATTGTTCGCATCGTATACTATATAATTTTTACTTTTGTTTGGTGGTATGTTTTAGTTTTCTTTTTTTCTTTTTCTTCTTTCTTTTTATTTTATTTTATTTTATTTTTTTATTAACATATATGTGGGCATGTGTGTGTGTATATATATATATATACATATATATACAAATATATATATACGGGCACTGGATATGAAATATTAAATCTGCGATTAGGTTCGTTTGAAAGTATTTATTCTCTTTTTTCATTTCCTTTTTTTTCTTTTTTTTAAATATTAAGACATTTCACGCTCGTCAATCGTGTTTATCCGGAAATAGCTGGATCAATTAATGTTTACATTTAATTAAGTAATCATTTAATTTAAAATGTTACATCAAAAAGCTCAACTTGGTAAACAGTTATGAAAATCATCTCAGAATGATTTATTTCGTGACATTGACAGTTCATCAAACATCCGGATAATACATTGAAAGATATATATATATATATATATATATATATATATATACATATATATACACATGTCTGTCTTTTAGCATCCTCGAAAAAGTAGCTATTAATATCTTGATAACTATAGTATATAAGTAGCTTGCCAAGATTAAATTCTCAGGGTGAACAGTCCCATAAGATACGTTCGAACCGTTAAAACGTAAGTTTCACGCTTGTCGCCTTTGTCGAAACAATTTTCTCTATTATCTTTCATTTGAATCGAATCGTTACGAGATTCCCGTGAAAAATTCGATCTCCTTGATTGCAAATTGCATATTACACACGTAGTACGTCCTGCATTAAGTGTTATCTAGTGAAAGTTCGATTAATAAAATCATACAAATAGAAGAACGAAGGAAGAAAAATAAAAACAACAGGTAAATATGAAACGCGTGAACGAAAAAATTGGAAATTGGAAAAAAAAATAAAAACAAAAAAAAAGAAATACGGAAAGCGAACGAAAATATGTTTTTATATTCGAACAAATTCTTTTTTTATTTATTTTTTTATTTATTGTTTTTTTTTCTCTTCTTCAACGAAAAAAAGAAAAAAAAAAAAAAGAAAAAAAAAAAAAAAAAAAAAAAGCAACAAACATTCGATCGTTTCTGGAATTTTCTTCGAGACGAACGAAAAGAATGGAGAGAAAAAAAAAGAAAAACGAGAGAAAGAAGAAAATCTGCGTTGTCGTCTTTTTCTTTTTTTTTTTTTCTTTTGTTTTTTGAGAATACAGTCCATTTATTTTTGGAATGTATCGTATATTTATGTATGTGTGTACGTAAAAGCAATGCGATAGTCTCATATTTCACGTAACTTCGATGATATAGGAAATAGAAAAAAAAAAAAAAAAATAAAATAAATAAAAAGAAAATGGAAAAAGAGATGGAAAACTAAAGATAGAGAGAAAAAGAAAGAGAGAGAAAGAGAGAGAAAAAGAGAGATCGTAACGCGATCGTAAATAAATCCAAAAGAGACATTCAATTCAATATCCAAGATGTAAACTGCTCGATGTGTGTTTCTCGTTTGAATTCGAAGAGTTTGCCAAATCTTAGTAGCAAAAGCCATAAATTCTTCCAAGTAATAGTACCATCCTGACGAGAGAAAAGAATGGCCGATTGTTTTGTCCGCGTACCTCCCTCCATTTTCCTTTCCCTCACCCTCACCCTCATCCTCATCCCCATCCCTCTTCTCTCTCTCTCTCTCTCTCTCTCTCTCTATCTCTCTCTTTCTTTCTTTCTTTCTGTCTACCTTTCGGTCGTCAATGTTTTACGAAGCGTAAACTTCAAGTAAAAATGTTCCTCCGTTCACAAGTCAGTGCCAAAATTCGTGCGTCAGGAGTGACTTTTGGCAAGCCACTAGAGGACAGAGACAGAGACGGGCCTCCGATCTTGATCTCGAGCATAGAAAAAGATGAAAGATAAATCGTTCGTTTAATTAATTTATTTATTTATTCTTTTTTTCTTCTTCTTCTTCTTCTTCTTCTTTACCTCGTCGTCGAGTAAGATAAAAAATGCCGAAGAATGTTTCAAGGACAATTCTGAAGCCATTAGAATCGTTCGATTAACATTGCGACTTGCCTAGGAGAAAAGATTGTACATTTCTTTTTTTTTTTTTCTTTTTCTTTTTTTTTTAAATACGCACATCCGCGTAAAAACAAAGAGAGAGAGAGAGAGAGAGAGAGAGAAAAAGCATAGAAAAAAAAATTGCAAGAAAAGAAAAAGTCACAATATTTCCAATTACATACGTGCATATGTAGTTTGGATAAAAAAAGAGGAGAGAAAAAGCAAAAGAAAAATAATTATAACGTCGATAAAATTATAAATATAGTTGTTGCATTGCCGTGTCATATCGATCGATAACAAAACCGGATATTGATGGTAGGTTGAAAAGAGAAACGATCGAACGAATCAAACGAACGGACGACAAAAAAAAAAGAAAAGAAAAAAATTAAAAAAATAAAAAGAAGAAAAGAAAAGATAAGAAAGAAAAAAAGAAATAAAATAAAATAATCCAAAAGGAAAACGAATTAGATCGAACGATTAAAGCGTGAATTGAGATATTCTCATGCTTATTACGATGTTTCATATTAAAAGAGCCATTTAAAGAGCGCCACATATCTACAGCCCTGGTTAAGCGTCGCGACGCCTCACGTACGTTCTGGCAGTGAGGGGGTGCCACTCGTGCGGAATAGCGTGATCCTAGAGAATCGCTCGGTCCCTCCCTACCTCCCAACCGCCCGCGTCCTCTTTTATTTTCACTTAATCATCCATCAAGTTCAAGAATTTTCTATTTCTTCCTATTCGCGTCCTGTTAGTCGCAAGTATTCGTTCGCATAAGAGATGGCTAAGGAAAACTTCAGGGCCGTAATCCGTATCACTTCGATCGTAAAGATCGAAGAAAAGTGACGAGGATTTATCACCCGTTTCTTTTTCTTTTTTCTTTTTCTTTTTCCTTTTCTCTTTCTCTCTTTATCTCTCTCTCTCTCTCTCTTTCTCTCTCTCTCTCTCTCTTTCTTTCTTTCTTTGTTTTCTCCTTCGTTGGATTGGATAACAAAGTGACCTTCTACGGGAACCCAGGAAGAAACCTTGACGATCTACCTAGAGCGAGACCAACTGGTGCATCACATAACTCACAGTGAATATTTCAATATAGTATCGATCTACCGGTGTGTCGAACACGTGCTACGTGAGTGTCCGTATACATATCTGTCTCTAAAGAAATAAAAACAGACCAGTTTGTGTTCTTTTTTCCAATCTGTGGTGTACGTACATACATACATGCGTCATGGAATGAAAACGTTTTCTTCTTTTTTCTTATATTTTCTTCTTCTTTTCTTTTCTTTTTTTTACCCTCTTTTCATTTCTTCTTCTTGTTTCTTTTTTCTTTTCACTTCTTCTTCTTCTACTTCTTCTTCTTTCTTTATTCCCTGGTGTATCCCTGTCGTGTATATTACTCCACTTGTCTTTTCCTATACGCGTAACTAAAAGCTATATCTCTGACGTCCTATCATAAAACGTGGCCAAGTGTCCTAGTGTCTTACATGTCAGGAATAACTTGAAAACAAAACAAACAAGGGAATAACAAATAAACGAACGAACGAACGAACGAACGAACGAACGAACGAACAAACAAACAAATAAACATATAAACAAATGAACACATGGGATAAACAAGAAAAGCAAGATTTAATTCTAATTAACGACCTATGATATATATTTAATATCGTATCTCTCTCTCTCTCTCTCTCTTTCTCTCTCTCTCTCTTTCTCTCTCTCTCTCTTTCTATATATATATATATATATACATATATACACTTTTATATGCTTATTACTCACAATAAATCTTGCCTTACGCCATTTTTAAAATTTTTTGTCGTCGATCCTCAACCTTTGCCAAAACACTTTTCGCACAACTCAAGAGAGGGATAGAGAGGTAGAAAGAGAGAGAGAAAGAGAGAGAGAGAGAGCGAGGGGAGAGAAGGGGAAGAGAGGGAGATAGAGACAAATAGACAGACAGACAGAGAGGAAGAGGAAGAAAGAGAGAGCAAGGAGAGTGAAGAAGTTGAACAATGTATGGCAGCGATAGGAATACCTTTAGCTCTCCACCTTATCAATTGTCAGAGTTCCTCGTTGATTAATTTAAAAGTCAGAGGAAAACTATTCGGATGTCTGACGTATACTAGCAATAGTAATAGTAATAGTAGTGATAGTAGTAGTGATAGTAGTAGTAGTAGTAGCAGTAGTAGTAGTAGTAATAGTGGTGATGGTAATGGTAGTAGTTTCCTGGACGTTCGATTTATAATCCAGAATGAGATTCAACGAGTGTACGTGACACCTTTGTTCGAAGAAAAACAGGTACAGGAGGAATTTGCGATTCCGATCTAAGTAATCGCAATGACCTAGATGTCAATTTATCTATGTTACGTACTTGATCATAGAACCTGTACTGGATTGATCTTCTCTGTCCTTGGAAAATATTCTTGCCGTTCTAAATTTACGCGATTAAAAGGATAGGAGGGAAGGGAAGAAAAAAAAAAAGAACAGAAAAAGAAAAAAGAAAGGAAACCATAGTACAATTTTGCATATGTTCTTTTCTTTTTTTGTGTCTATTTCAATTGCAAATTCTTTACTTTTCTTTTCTTTTTTTTTGTAAGGATCGTTAATCAGCGAATTAGAACTAACGCGCAACGGGATAATGGAATCGTGGGAGGATAATGAGATCAAACGATTAGCCAACAGGTTGATAAAGAATCCTACGTTAAAGCCAAATGATTCAGAAACTGGCGATGATCGTGGTGGGCGAAAACGTTCTCGCCCGAGTGAACGTAGCATAACCGTTTTGAATTTGGCTCGTTGAAGGAAAGAAGGAAGGGCGAGGGAGAAGAGTTTACGTTCGATCTGGCAGTATCGAGTCGACAGTCCAATCGTGCGCGAACTGGCTAGATTTCTAGTTCTCCTTTCTCACCGTTCACTCACCGAGGTCAAGGTTCAATAGAGACGAAAAGTATACGGTCGATGAACGCGTAAATACTTTCGATAGTTTGTATCTGTTCGACTACACGGCATCTCATTCTCTCTCTCTCTCTCTCTCTCTCTCTCTCTCTCTCTCTCTTTTTCTCTTTCTCTCAGTCTGTCTTAATTTCTCTCTTTCCATCCTTCCCTCCTTACTTCATCTCTTACGTTGCATAGATCAAAACGTAACTTCAGAGTAAATCAAAATAATTTGAAAAACGAAAGTTATTAATTAGTACGAAAAACCGAAAGAGTCGTATTAAGTTAAATTATCGTCAATAGGGAGACTCCACTCCCTGGGTATAAAATATAAGGAATGATTATTCCAAGATCTTTGCAAATTACGATCGATAAAGAATGAGAGAGTTAACGGGGATTAACGGTGCGCGATAGATCGCGCATCAAACACGTTCCATTATGTACATACATTGCACACACGGGGCAAACGAAATGATTTGGTATTAAGAGAAAAGGCATTGTCGTGTGTTAAACTGCACTATCGAAACGAAAATTAATAAATAACAAAAAAACAAATAAATAAACAAATAAAACATCAACAACAACAACAACAACAACAACAACAACAACAATAATAATAATAATAATAATAAAAACAACAATAACAACAACGACGAGTTCAAGTATCATCATCGTCATTGCTTTTGCGTTGCTTTCTATCAAGTTTATATGTCATCGATTACCTAACCAATCTAGCCGAGGAAGAAAAAATTTTGATCAGCATCAATCATGAATCTTATGTTCCGCAAGAACTTCGGCGTGGAGAGGGGTGCCGGTGGTGGTTTAACGGGAACCGGAGGTGGCGTGGGAGGAGGATTGGGAGAGAGCAAACTCGGTGGGACGTACGGAGGAAGTGGTAGAGGAGGAGGAGGAGGAGGTGGAGGAGTTTATGGTGGTGGAACGTGCTTGGGTCTTGGAAACCGTTACGGTATAACAAGAGTTCCTGGTCAATCAGTGATACCAGGACGTGGACCGATAAGACGTAGCAAGGAATTTGGCTACTTTCCGTCGATGGGCGATCACGAGCATCAGAGTTTCGGGTATCGAACTCATCTCTTCCTATCGCCGCCCACAGGTGGACCGCTCGGTGCACCACTCGATCCCGATGCCGGCGAACGACTGGGGCCGTCGCCCCGCCGTAACTCTGGGCCGCATGTTATCAAGTGGGGAGGTGGTGGGGCTAACTCCGGTACAGCGCAAGGCCCAGCCTCGGCCAATCAGATCAAAAGGAAGCAGAATCAGCAATCGAAGGAGCCGTCCGAGCCGCCAACGCCAACTGCCTCTAGACAGGTATCACGCTTTATTACATCGATTTCGAGTCTTTCAATTTTAACAGGCAAATATATCCTTACCGAGTCGCTCAAAACACCCTTTACGATCGAATACCCAGCAAACGTCTACTTTAATCCTATCTCCAATATACCTCAATATTTCTCGAATTCCATTCGCGTATAACATACTATGTTTATTTTTATCGAACAGACTTCGTTACATAATCTCTACAATTTTCCGTCCCACCTTAACGTTTACTTCCATCGCGATACGCGATTAGGTGTCCGGTTAATTCACGTGTTTCACTAGAACGATAGTTTATAACACACGTAAAGACGCAATGAAAATGTATGAGATGTTTAAAGACTCCGTTGTAACATCTCACGCGATATCTTCATAAAACTCGCAAAAACCCTCTAATGCCGGCAAACTAATGCATGACGATATTTCATCACAAATCGCGGTTTCGTGCCGACCGTAGCGTTTCGGGTGTTAATGCACGCGTCATGCTAATTTTGAATATATTACTGCGTACATACGCATATATATATATATATATATATATATATATATATATATATATATATTTAAAAATATGCCATATCATTACGGTTGAATTTGCAAATGCGTGCACTTAAACTAATTCTCAACTTTAGAAATCGAATTCTTATTATGCGTGACATTGTTATAACTCGTAGAATATGATTCATGACTGCACCAGAATAATTATACCGCATTATGAATCACAAAAGGACAGGGCCAAATCAGACAAAAGGAGAATGGTCACGTTAACAATACCGTTATGAAATTTTAAAGGTACAGGTAACGAATAGGTACTAGTTCTAAACTCATAAAAAAAAAAGAAAAAAAAAAAAAAAGAAAACACTTTTTACATTTCTCATACTTGGTATCTCTGAAATAAATTGTAATAAAAATTTGCGTATAATTATATATACATATATATCTTGTAAGGCGAAAAGTTGAATAAAAATTATACTTAATCGTATATAAAAATTATATTTATACATATGACGAAAAAAAATAAGTTACGGGATCGAAAGGTTTCCATTAAAATTCTTTTTACGAATCATATTACGTGAATGAAAATATTTTAATTATTTCAAAGACACCCTCTATACAGGACATTCGTCAAAGACGTCCTAATCTTCATTCTAAATTCTTATCTTACGTTGGGCAAAACGATTGGTTGCTTTCATTTCGTTTCGTTTCGTTTCGTTTCGTTTCGTTTCGAAACGAACAAATCACGTGAAACGGAATGTGGAAGGTGCATTACGACCCGTCGTCGGTTTAAGAGGATAATTTTACAAGGACGAGAAAAGTTATAGAGAGGAAACGGCGAATACCTTAACGTGTACCGTGCAATGTAGCATAAAGTTACACCTACACAAGATCGAACGGCACGCAAAGTCCCTATCTTATTGCACGCCATAGTGGATCTTTGCGACGTGCAGTAAATTTCGAGACGAGACTTCGTGTTAGACCATGCAAAATCTTTTCACATTTTCTACGATTATCTTTCTACGTGTCATTTCAATTTGATCCTTTATCGTTTAACGACGACGTACAATATTTCTTGATAATTTTTCATTTTTATATATTATGCATATATTTATATATATATATATATATATATATATATATATATATACAGACACACATACACACACACGTACGTCATGTCTAAACAAAACAGAACAAAAAAATACTCTACGAATATCAATAATATCAATCGTTTGTCAAGGCCAATTAAATAATTTATCTCTTACGAAATCGTAGAAAAGTTGTGCGTGTATATAAAGAAAAACAAAAAAAAAAGGAAAGAAGATAATTTATCCTACATTCGTGTGACATACAAATAATAATAATAATAATAATAATAATAATAATAATAATAATAATAATAATAATAATATCAATAATAATAATAATAAAACGGAGTATCGATCGGATAATGGAGACATTTCAGTTTTACGAGTCAATCGATAATATACAGATGTATATGTATATGTGTGTGTATAATGAGATCGACTATGAGAAATTCCTTTGGTCAGGATCACGCGCCGTTAAATCGTAAGTCATAAGAATAAATAATAAAAAGTATAATTAAAAGTATTAAATCGAAATTTACATAAATACGTTAGTTCTTCGCTTATTTTTTTTTTATTTCTTTTTTTTTTCTTTTTTTTTTTTTTTTTTAACGATTTCTTCAACGTCCTAAACAGGTTCGGAGAAAGAGAATTGACTGGCTCAAATCAATCGCACAAAATTTCTTACGATCGATATAAAACTCGAATACCAGGAATGATCCATCAGATGAAGAGAGAGAGAGAGAGAAAGAGAAAGACATATACATATATACATATAAATACTAGAGAACGTGTATATTCAGTCGTAGCAGTCATTGACCGAATTTATACATAGTAATAGCATAATAATAATAGTATTAGAGTAACACTAGTAATAGTAGTAGCAACACATAAAAAGATCTTTAAGATTACTAACAATTCGTCCTTTTCTTTTCTTCTCCCTTTCGTTCTAAAAAAAAAATCATATAGAAAAAGAGGAAGTTGTGTTATATCGACAATTCGTTAAAACAAAAATGATCTAACGGTACGATTAATAATAAAATTCAGGAAGTCGATTGAAAAATATTTTTGATCGATATTTTCAGGTGTCCTTTAGCGGCAATAGATCTTCCGGTACCTATACACCCCTCGTTGTATCCGGTAATAGTCCACCACGTGGTGAACCGATCTCCCTGGCAACATTGGATCGAGACTGCTTCATTATACCACTTGCGTCATTGGAAAGATTTTTACCAGCTGGCGTACCGGTAGGTTCATCCCTTTTTTATAATCAAATATTATCTTCAATATTGAAAATATTTCTGATATTCAACAATAACAATAACAATGGACAACGACAAGGACGATGACGACAACGACAACGACAACAGAAAAGAAATTCTTCAAACAAAATCAAACGAGTTCAATGTAGCACCCTTTGCTTTAACTTTTTGGATTAACCCAATTTTGAACTCGATTTTTATTTTTTTCATCCGAGTTATCGTTGATCATTCGAATTGCATTTTAATATAAAACAAAGAGATAATTATTGATTTATTTTCTCTTTTTCTCTCTCTCTCTCCCTCTCTTTCTGTATTCTTCGTTGCGGTAACGATGGTAAACAAACAATTAAAAATAATAACTAAAATCGAGAGATATGCCAAAGAAAACAAATGATTATTATTGTTGTAATCTAAGAAGGGGATGTGCGAGAAATATGTACGTGCGTAATCTTGGAAGTTCTTTTTTTTCTTTTTTTTTTTTTTTTTCTACGAGAATACGTATTGTCAACTATACTTGTGACATATATGTGTAGGCGTTGAAAGGGTTAAAGAAAATTCTCGTTTCAAGGTTGAAAGTTGGACCGTCTAAAATCAGAGTATGTAGGTAAATTACTTGCACGTCCGAAACGAGCGAGTGTACACCTGTTAAAACTGGAATGCTCAAGTTTGTAACTAGAGAGAGAGAGAGAGAGAGAGAGAGAGATTGAGAGAGAGAGAGATTGAGAGAGAGAAAGAAAGATGAATCCACGCGCACATCAACCTTGTACGTACGAACGTCTTGGACTTAAAAATAGATGAAACTAAGTACTCGTGGCGATTCGAGCACAATAAAATTGAATCACCTTCGAGTTTTAACTAACAACGTAGGTATAATTTTATTGCGTAATGGACCAATCCAGAAATAATCTCGAAAGATATTATTTCCCATTTTTATTATATTGAAATATTTTCATTATACACACACACACACATATATATATTTTTTTTTTTTTTTGTAATAAATGTTGGACCATTCATTTTGTTGATTAAAGAGCGCACCAATAGCGGACAAGAAAAGATCGGGCAGCCCGCTGTCGATTCTCGAGGTCGAGGACCCAAAGCAATGTGTTCTTGTCCATTTCATGACACCGTTGGAACCTTTGGATCCATTGGTAGAGTCTCCTGTTTCACGGCCTCTCGTATTGCAACGCGATACCGCCGCGGAACTCGTCGCTGAAATAGCACCTTCCGCCTCCCAAAGTATTTTACTCACAAACATGGAAAAGAACGGTTAGTGGGTTTAAAAAAAAAAAGAAAAAAAAAAGAAAGAAAGAAAAAACCATCTGCATGTACTTGCTTAGATCATCCCTTTAGAGTATTCCTACACTTTAATAAGTAGAATTTAACAGAACAAAACCAAAAAAAATATTCGAACAAATGGTAATAAAGTCTTATTCACCATAATCGTTTATTACAACTTATTAGATTTAATATATATATATATATATATATATATATATATATATATATGTATATTTTATAATATATTATAATGCTTTAGAATAATTTAATATTAATGTCAAGTAATGAAATTAAAAAAATTAATATTATACAGTATTACATTTTTTTTGTAATACTAATAATAATAAAATTTATAATAATATAATAAATATGTATATATTATACACAATATTGTATACAATATATATATATATATGTATGTGTATATATAATATATAATATATATATATATAAATATATATACACACATAACTGTCAAACTTTGAAAATATATGTAACTTAGAAAACGTCGTATAAAAGAAGAATGAAGAAAAAGAAAAAAAAAAGGGAGAAAAAGAATTTCTTCGCCAATGTCCGCAATATATTACTTACTCAGCCGAAATTAATAGAACATACCGTTATTGCGAAACACCCTATATATATATATATATATCCGATAAGATGAAAACGATCTAAGCAAGTTATCTTCTAGCGTATAACGAGATAACATTAAAGTTTATTTTCTTTGACTATTACAGCGGATTTCCCGTTCATAACGTACTATCTAATAAATAAGCAGAACACGGATCCCCTCGATTTTTACAACGAAGTTCAATGTGCGGCCTTGAGGAAGTTCGATCCGCGTGACCTCAGATACGCGGCCAGCCATACTTTGGATCTGTTCAACGAAGTAGCGACGATAGCAAGACCACCGTTGGAACCACCCGGTGGGAGACCACCTATTCCGTCCACCGGCTACATAGTCTCGATCTTCAAAGTGTTCGAGGGTGACGACGGTCTCAAGTTTGAACAAAATTGGCTTTATTG